TTGGCGTGGCCACCCGTCTTTATAACGCCAATAAAGAACTTTGCTCCTGTCTTTCTTTTTGGTATTATGAGTTCGCTCGAACTCACCGGTCTTAAATATGTTATGGGGCGCTGGTTAAACGAAACGATCACGCGAGCGTTGTCATATGGCATAGAAGAGCCCAAAACATACTTCAATGACCACGGGAGTATATTGTGACTTTTCCCATAATCTGCCACCACGGGAGCAGCCAAGGGAGCCCGGAATCGCCCTTCTTAGATCCGCATTTTCCTTTTCCATCATAGACGGCCCCTGGCAGAAAGTTAGAAATCGGCGTGGTGCCCTCTCTCCGCCCCTCAGCCGCCCCGCCGTAAAAACCCTGTCCGCGCCCCTGTGCGTCGCCCCATCCCCAAGTCTGCCCGACACTTGCATGCTTTTCTAATTCGCTGCTAAGCCCGCACACTGCCGACGCCGCGAGTCTAATGCACCCGGCTTCCGGTCGCCGACTCTGGAGCACACGCGACCGGCTGACACGTGCCCGGCCCGCCGTCGGCCCGGCCGGACTTACGTCACAGCGTGACGTCACGGCCGCACGAGGGTCGAGGCCCGTCGCAGCGAGCAAGACCACGCGGCCCAGCTGACGTCGGCACCAACACGACGGCGCTGGCTGTCGGCGGCGAACACGACCAGGCTGAGAGGCAACGACCAGACCGCGAGGGGACACCAAGACCAGACTGCGAGGCGACACCATGCCCAGACTGCGAGGTGACACCAAGTCCAGACTGCGAGGCGACACCGCGGCCAGACTGCGAGGTGACACCACGGCCAGACTGTGAGGCGACACCATGTCCAGACTGCGAGGCAACACCATGTCCAGACTGCGAGGTGACACCAAGTCCAGACTGCGAGGCGACACCATGTCCAGACTGCGAGGTGACATCAAGTCCAGACTGCGAAGCGACACCATGTCCAGACTGCGAGGTGACACCAAGTCCAGACTGCGAGGCGACACCATGTCCAGACTGCGAGGCGACACCATGTCCAGACTGCGAGGTGACACCATGTCCAGACTGCGAGGCGACACCATGTTCAGACTTTGAGGTGACACCATGTCCAGACTGCGAGGCGACACCATGGCCAGACTGCGAGGCGACACCATATCGCTTCCCCGCCAGCCTGACCAGACGTCCCCACAGACTGGACCGGACGCCCGGTCCGCCGCGGCGCCGCTCCAGTCTACTCCAGACTCCTCCAGACTGCAGACTTCCGTTCTGTCCGCCACCCGGTCCCGCGTTAAGCCCAACGGCGCGCCGATAGTCGGCCGCTGAGCTGAAAAGCCGGCCGCTGGCCTTGCCAGGCTCGCTCACGCCGGCCCTGAACGCTGGACCTGGTGGTGGCGCGCTGACGCCGCGCCGCAGCTCCAGAGCCGGCGAAGTATGTGCCGGTCGCGCGCGCGAACCGCGCCGCGCCCGCAGCGTGAGCGATGCTGGTGACGGTGGCGCGGGGTGGGACAGGGCGGCGCTATGTCGAGGGTTTGGGATGAGAGCTTGGGATGTCTTGATGCTACACGCTGTTCTCGGGGTAGTCGGAAACACGAACAGATGTGCTATTTGCAGGACATGCTCTAACCTCATTGCACAGCAACCCCACTGCGAAGTGAAACTCTTCCATCAGGGAGGTACTTAACGAAACGCGCTCGCGCTACACCTGACCTGCGTAATCCTGCCAGGCCGAGCCGGCAAGCCGGATGTTGCCGGGCGACTGCAATCACACGCATCCAGCCTTGGACTCAGAGCTCGGACCGAGAATTCAGAGGCTGAGCCTATCGATATCTGTCGGTGGTGGCCGAGCTTATCGGTAGCCGTTGACGACCTGAGGAGCCTGCGGCTTTCTTCACGTCCAGTAGAAAATCAATCAGCCCCGCGCTGGATCACTGACTGGCGCTTGACGACGAGACGCATTGCCATCAGAAACGGTCGTGTTGCTCGTGGTGGATGGATAACTGCTACTTCCGGTAGGACGAATTGGCACCAGCTTGGTGGAGGTGACAAGGAGGGAGGTGAGTAAGGAGGTCGGAGGTAGACGAGGAGGCAGCTGCAAATGGATATGCTGACTACTGCGCCTGCACATCTCAAGGTCTGACTGTTCAGACGTTGTACATTATGTCACATTTTGACTAGTTCCAGGCATTAATGGGCGTAATTCGGGCTCGAAACGACTATATCCGTTTGTTCGGGCACCCGGTCTTCGACCCTCCGGTCGGGTCCTTCCCTGAATGGCGGCCCTCCGGTTATGTCCTCCCCTGAACGGCCGGGCAGCGGTCAGTGTCGCCGCTCCACATCGCCTGATGGGTCCACGCGAAGAGCGCACGGAAAGGTCCTACGACATCGCCTCACGCCAGTGCCGAACAAAGGCGACATTCTGCTTCTGCTTACTGACTTCTGACATTCTGCTTGCTCCGCGTTAGGCTGGCGCTGGTGCTGGCCTAGCGTTATTGCCGGCTGGCCTCACATTTTTTTGTGTTTTTGCTTTGTTGGCGGTGTTTTAGAAACTCGCGGTGTTAAGCCATCCTTTTAGCAATAAGCTTAGAGGTGGGATTTATCGAAAGATGAAAAAACATACCTGTGGTGGCAGAGAGTTTAATATGAGTCCCAACACTGGTGACGGAGGAGGATCATACAGCTCACCGCCTGCTTCAGAATATGTGTGGCTGCACACGTAGCGAGTCTCCTCATAATTGTAAGACGGCGCAAAAGACCTAAAGTGAGTGGTCCACCGTGAGCGCAACTGATGTCGTCATGGGAACGACCTTCTATTTACCAAGGTTGGTAATTAACGTGATCTCAGAAATTGTATCGAGCAGATAACCACGCTGTCAGCCCAAAGCGTGCGGGCACAAAATGCTCGACATTTCCAGCATAAAAACGTTTTTCTTCGTTACTCAGCCATGCAAGCCAGCTCATGCCATGCATGGAGGTACGGCAGCAATGCCACCCAGAGACGTACGGATCAATGACAATGGCTTTCAGCCGCTACCTTACTACGTCTCGACTCTTTCACTCCAGCGCATCACCACTTTTTCTCCAAAGCCAAAAACGCATACACAAACAGCGGCCCACGCGTACTCACGACTCGTAAAACTTCTTGACCAGCATGTCGATCTCCTTGACCTCCTGCTCGGAGAGGAAGAGGTGGCGGCTCTTCCTGTGCGCCTCCATCGGGGACGGCGGCTTGGGACATTCAGCCCGCCGGCCGTCCGCCTCCTCCAGCCGCTGGCGCTTCCTCTCCTTCCGCAGCTGCAACCGGTCAGATGGCGATATGGAACGAGGAGCGCCGTCGTTACGCTCGCTAGCTTCTGCCACGCGCGCGCGCATGCGCAGATACCAAGACAAGGGGCAGACAGGGATTTTTTCGCAGGGGTCTGTACTTAGTGGAAACTCATCACGCCGATTTTCGTCTTTCTCTCAGAAGTCACCTATGGTACTAAACGCAAAGAATTTTACCCAAGACGGGACAGGGGTGCCCCCTCCCCTGGCTGCGCCTGTGTGCACAGGCCATGCTAGCTTATGACGGCCAATTTTCCACTGACGTTTGATAATCTGTTGGTTCTTTTTTATCCATACAAGGCAGCCCTAAAAGCTACTCCGCATGCAGGATACCCACGGACTTTCCCTGAGGGCGTTGGCGTAGCCACACCTTACATGCAACGGGGGTCCATTTCCGCTTTGGTGCCATTTCACATGGCCAAAACACAAAAATAGTCAATTTGCTGGGTTACAACACGATTGCTGGGGTACGAACCCTACCCCAACCCCAGCGACGGTTACACGCATGTCTGGGGCGGGGAGCGGGGGAGGGGGGGGGGAGGGTAGAAGGTGATCGGGGGATCAAAACTGGTTATCCTGAGGAGTCAAAGCGCTGCTTTGGTACCAAGCGGTGGGGACCCCCCCCCCCCCCCTCTCACGACGACGTCCCTGCCCTCACAACGCGGCGTTTGAATCTTAGCCGCAGCCCTGGATCGGCTATGCAACGTATTTTGGATTTGGTAAGAAAAGATGAGATTGGCCTTGAGTCCGGACACCCGTTGGGCCAGGATGTAATTGTCCACCGTCATAAGTAGCGAATGTAATCCAAAAACTTTGGAACTCAGTGCTCTGGAGATCTTGAAAGCCATGGATTGCTACAGCTTTTCGTGCATCACATTTTAAGGATCTAATCTATCCCCATGCACCAATGTAAACCAAACCCGCCCGTCAATTTACGCTGTGTAAACCTGACAAATAATGTCCCCTCGAACATAAAAAGTATTGCCCGCAACAGTATCTGTCGATTCGCCGCATTGCATCCCACTTCAGTATGCTCGAAAAGGGAAATTTTAGTTGACAGTACTACTCCCACTTCTCAGCATGACGCTCCAGTCATGAAACCGATGTCACCCGTTTTGACTGAGATAACTGTTAATCTTGTTCAGTGTAATCTGTAAGTTTTCAGACCCGGTTCAGTCAATCCCAATTATCTCATGGGTTTATCCCTGATTCACGAATTGATTAAGTCAGTGACGACCCCTATCTCGCGGCATGAGGTGCCACGTTGCGTCTCACGGACCACGGGGAAAACGTAGAGAAAATGTAGAAAATCGATGTTCTACGCGACGCCATTTTAGCCGTAAGGCGTCAGACGCCGTGTCCGGAGGATATGCATCAGTGGATCTGAAGCTGTGGACCTGAAGCCGTGGTTTTGAAGCTGTGGACTTGGAACTGTGGATCTGGAGCCGTGGGTCTGAAGCTGTATATCTGAAGCTTAGATCTGAAGCTATGTATCTGAAATTGTGGGTCTCCTTACGTTTCTAAGGAAAGAAAGAACCTCCAGCCCGCATCTCCGACGCCATGTCCGATGCCATAAAGACGATGATATTGCAACTAGAACAAATTGTTGCTGCACCTACCTTATCCTGGTGCTGCCTCTCTTCTTCTGACATCACCCACTTCTTCTCCATGCCGATTTTGACGCATTTTTGAAACCTGCAATGCAAGGGAAAGCCAAGGTCACGGACCCACCATCAGGCTGTCGCTGCCGGCTTAATACCACGCCGTCTATCCAATGCCAAACAGTGATGTCCCTGACACCCAAAGCTGGTTCCTAATTTCCACTGACTCTTTGCAAAACAAGAGCCACCGGTCCACGTTCTTAGATCCCATTGTCCTTCTACAATCACCATGCCCGGGATCCTGGTTTCCATTGGTTCACTCACAAAACGTCCTTTTCTGGTTCCTGGCTGTCATCGCTTTACTCGCAAACGCCAGACCTTGTCACTGATTGATATCTATCCTCACTGAGCACATGTTGTTGTGTCATGTGTCAGTTTTGAAAACAACGGGTATCTTACCGTATTCAGCAAATAGTGCGAATTAGGGCTTTTGCGATGGGCAACTGTTCGCGTCATTTACATAGTCATTTATATGAAAGCATCATATGCAATTATATATATATATAATTATGCATTATGCATATGCATCATAATATATATGCATACATACATATATGTATATATATATATATATATATATATATATATATATATATATATATATATATGTATATGTGTGCGTGCGTGCGTGCGTGCGTGCGTGCGTGCGTGCGTGCGTGCGTGCGTGCGTGCGTGCGTGCGTGCGTGCGTGCGTGCGTGCGTGCGTGCGTGCGTGCGTGCGTGCGTGCGTGCGTGCGTGCGTGCGTGTGTGTGTGTGTGTGTGTGTGTGTGTGTGTGTGTGTGTGTGTGTGTGTGTGTGTGTGCATTGTAAACGATAAGCACTCTTGATCAAATTTCAATTCGAATTACAATAACAAATATAAACCTCACTGACTGACAGCAACAACTAAGTGTGTGTGGTAGCACCCGAGGTTTTCGCTCAGCAGGTGTGAATGCAGCCCAGTTGAGAAATATATACCGACAGTTGAAATATGAACGTCTGTTTCTGGATTTCATTCACGTAGATCAAACGACGGCGACATTTCTCCAGAATGAACAGCTTCAGCACGCGTCCAACATAGCTAAGTGGGTGAAGCGGCCAGATCGTGAACGAAAATGCGGACTGCCTTCGCTGCAAAGGGCTTGGGTTCATTTGCGGTGGCACTAAAACGCAGGCATGCTCCAAAACTTGCTCAAAAATCCATTCGATCTCCTTTCGGGGCCCTGTCCACCATAAAAGCACCACTCGAAGCGGCATTGCACGTTGCACCGACTCATGGAGTCCCTTTGCATGCAGAACACAACGTTAATGTACCCGAAGAGCCAGATTTCCAGAAAAGGGAACTTGACTAATGAAGTTATGATAATGAAAGACTAATGTATATGTATGTATATATGTATGAAGTTATGAAATGACTTGACTAATGAAGAAGATAATGCATTGCGTGACAAGCCACAACAATAGTTACCATCAGTATATGGGGAGAAAATGTTTTTTCCCGTTCCTTTTCGTGTAAAACCACAAGGTTTATATTGCTTTGTCCATCAGTGGGCCGGCAGCCTCACCGGTCTTTCCGACCCCTACTTTCGGCAACCCCGAGCCCGTTCGTGACTGACCCCGTTTTTCACGACCCAATTCGTGGCAGTTCACAAAGTATATCCCCACGATACCTCAGCCGGTAGTCGAAATGAGCAGCATTTAGCGTCGGAAATCCTCCTTCAAAGAATGCGTGACTGTGACGTGTGGTGATCTTTTATTTTTCACGATCGTATTCATCATGATCAAGGGAGCTGGCTGTCTTCGTTACGGAGAATACTGCGCCTTTTGCATTGAGAAACTACGATAAGGTGTCTACCATGCACTTGAGGTCTTTGCCACGCACCAGGCTGCTAAAACTTTATGAAACCGCCCGCTTCTCACCCTGACAGGAGGGGTGGGGACCATGGGAATCGATCCTGGGTCGTCTTGCTTCCCGGACGCACAGCGCAAAGGGAGATCCCATCTTTTTAACACTTTACACTTATTGTCGAATCAGACGCACACGATCTGATCAGCAATACCATTTTTCTCGAAATCGTTCTGAATAGCTCCGAACTGAAGTTTCTAACTCTGCGAGAAAAATTTCATTGAACTCTATGTTCACCACTTTGAACACAATACATTTCATTTGCCTTGCTTGTTCCATGATGTTGTCAAAATGTTTGCGTAATAAATGCTATGAAAGATCAAAACGCTCCTTTTACACCAAAAAACATGCAAACATGAAGCTATTATCCCGCGACTTCAACGTAGCGCCATACTACGGCCTTGGTGTCCCACCTAGACGGCGTTTACCAAAGGGATTTTTTCGAGGCAGACTTTGACTTTGGGAATGGGAATATCACATAATCCATGTGACGCCCAGGTTCAAACTTCAACCATCCAATTTCTCGGTAACAGGCCCCTGTTCGCTGTACCAGTCACAAGCTTTTTAATTCACACCAAAAGAGGTGCGCACGGTGGCTGTCATGGCAGCGGTGGTTGCGACTGCAGGGAAGAAGGGTAGTGTTGTCACAAAGCGCCACACGGCATAAGTCAGCCTAGAAACGTATGCAAATTGATATCCTAATTGTCTTGACGGTGCTGCAGGGGCAGTGCCCAGTGCTTTTATTAGACGTGACTAGTCCTGAGGTTTCACTAATGTATGCTTTTGAAACAAACTCCAAAGGTGGGACACCCCCTTTAATATACATGCAGCCTTGAAACGCTCTGGCTTTTGGCATGCTAGTTCTGTGCGCATTTCCATTGATCAGCGTTATTTCAGTACAGTATCTCAACGAACCCTTACGTCCGTTATAAGGCGTAATTCCTGCCTTGAACATACGGACCCAATTTGAGGGTCCGTAAGGTTTTCCACACTGCCTTTTTATGATCTTAACGGTTTTCTCTCTAAATTCACAACTCACCACGCACCGGTGCCATGATAATTTACGCAGAACGTCTTTGTTCGCCAAACACAAAGTAAAAGCATATAAGCCAACCAATCATGTTACGACGATGCAGAATTTTGCAATGGTGGGCAAAAATGAAAAAAAAACAAACATATTTGGCATGGTGCATACGCAAGGCATTTTTTCAAACGGTGCACGATCTGCTTATTCGCACGTGTGCTCTGTGATTATTTATTGTCGACATTCATTTGCATGCATGTTTAAACACCCCAATTTTGATAAGGGGGTAAGCTCTCTGATAACCCCATCCCTTTGAATGCGAGCCTGATCTCATGGATTATACCCTGGAAGTCACACCCAAGTTCCGGGGTCTGTGAAGAGTGCGCAGTGTGAGCGAACAATGGCTCCTCACAAAAATTCCAGGCATGATGGTGGATCCTGCTAGTTCCTTTGACGCAAAACTGTGTCGGCGCTTGGTTCTTGGTGGATTCATGAGCATAATGCCAAGCTGAATCGTGGTGCTTGATGGGTCTGTGGTCAGACGCGGGAATCTTGTTTCTTGCGGGATCCCTTGCCGTAGCTTGCCGTCAACTTTTCATTTTTGTTGGATTCCCGTGTATATTCCAGACTGGCTCTTGGTTTCTATTGGACTTCTCGGCTCTGTGTCGGACTACATCTTGGTTCCAGCTGGTTTTCTTAGTTTTATTCCGTGCTGGATCCTGGTTCTTATTGGATCCGTGGCTTGATTCCACGCTGATTTCTTGGTCATTCCTGGCATCAGAACCAGGAACGCTCTGTAACGATGGCATGGCGTCTGGCAGTTCCCTTGTTGATGCCTGCCCCCTCGCCCAGTCTGCCCCCCCCCCCTTTCTATCTGCCCTCCTCCCCCTACCTGCCCCTCTCCCCGGCAGCCCCTCTGCCCCTCCCTCCACACTTCGGACGCCCCGCTGTGAGTGACTGACCGTTGCAGCGTGCAACGCCCACCCGATTCCCCCACTTCGACCACTAGCACCTGCTCCCCCTCCCCCCCCCCCCCCCGCCTCTCTACGCGACTGAGGCGTGCCTGTTTCACGGACATTGACCGGCCCGTCCGACGTAGGCGACCGAGGGTCGAACGGCCCTGCGCGACACAGCGGCCGCGCAGGTCGAGCAGCCCTGCAATCGAGGCTATCGAGAGTGCATCAGTCGCACTCTATCTGTGCGTGACGTGCGCACGCGCCGCCGGAAGGACGCGAGGTCCAATAAAGTTCAGTGAACTTGCGCGGAGAATGCGAAATCGGGCCACCATTCAACACGTGCAGGGGCGCACCATTCGTTCGCGTTTCGCCCCCCGCGAGTAGGCCTGCTATTGGCTGGGTCGATGTCTGCGCAGCGCTTGAGGTCAGAGGTCAGCGACGCCGAGCAGAAGTCATCGCAGAGCTGTCGAGAGAGAGCCGTGCCATGCCGGAAGTGGGCGGACGAGCACCTGGCTCGCGGCTGATAGCGCAGCGACACGGACACGTGTCCGACGAAGCCGGACGAATCAGTGAATCACCATGGTGATGGTGGTCATGATCACTTCACCATGGCTCTGATGATGGGCTGAGGAGAACCGTCGTTGAGGGCAGGTTTGTCTGGTACATCGGATAAAACTGTGCCCGCTGACAGTTCTGTGTTCGTCCGTTTTCCATTACGCCATGTACTGCCGGGAGGAGAGCGCGGGAGATTCGTCCCAGGTTACTGGTGACGAGACGTCTCTGGAAAATGAATGACAGACAGCAAATTCGACGCCTATAAGCATGCATTTAACCTAACCTCATCCGCCTCATTTCTGAGATATTCATTCGCGAAGCCTGACCACAAAACGGGACCAGCGCAGAATTAAGCTCGCATCAACCATAAATATACACAGCGATCACGGCACGGGGATGAACCTGTGTGGTGGGTAGAGCGGACCCGCGCCATAAACGACGCAGAGACAGCTTTATTCCGGATATCCCACACCCGGACAGCCACAGAAATGTCAGTAGTGGCATCCCCCCCCCCCCCCCCCCCCCGCCTCCTCCGATTATTTACACCACAATCCGCAATTGGACAGACATGTCCCCAGTGACCCATTCTGAACACGGAGTCAGCCATGTCCAG